CCCTGAAAAACTGAAGTTTCTTTCTTAAAGGTTAAATACCATATGCAACCAAACTGAGCAAAAAAGGAATGCATGACAGGAAAGAATGAGCAAGTAGCAGGAGGATCCTCAATGAGCATACCCCCCCCCCCCCACCAGGCTGGGCTGGGGTTTAAGCCACACACCTTTCCAGAACAATTTTTATGTCTCCTAATTTCCATTACACAACCAAGCACTTGCATTTCAAAGACCATGCCACCAAGGCACATTGCTAATGATCCCTTTTACTCACAATTCCGTTCACTTATTTTGAGACATGCCCTTCTCTAACACAAATGGGTCAACCAGATTAATATGCACAGGAAGAAAACACTATTCTCTAAATGAGAGGTTCTTTTATAAAGCCCACCCTTTACCTGAATTCCCTACAACTCCCCACCCTCACTAGTTTGAAAATACACTATGGTCATTAGAGAATAAAATAACTTTAAATTCTGAAGCCTAAGGAGTTAGGAAAGTCACTCCTCCACTGGGCAAGCCTGGAATTCATGAGGGAAAATCTGCTTTCAAGTTGTTCTTACGGCCCAGGACCAGATGCTCCAAGGTGGCCAGAAACCTTTGTCTACACCCACTTACAGATTTCTGGCTCTTTATCAGGGACTCAGAGGTTTATTTGCAGAAATGAATCATTTCCTTCAAAGTCTCCCTTACCCTATTTACATGCTTGCATATTCCTTCCATTTTGTTTTCCCCTACAGCATTTCTAAGGAATTAATTATCTAGAAGAACAGGAACATACAGTAAGTACATCTGAGATCCAGGATGGGACACAGTATGTCATCTATTAGGCCTGGCTAAGACCAGCAGCTGATGCTAAATGGGAAGGAACATGCACCAAATGTTTTTTAATCACAAAGTTAGTAATTAATTGCTCTTTAAAATACATTTTATGCTTCTTTCTGTCTGTGTACATGAAATGCACATTTATTACATGCCAAAAATTACAACATTATGGTTTAAATGTGACTGGCACGGAAGTCCGGAAACCAGAGTTAATGTCCCCAAAGCAACTTTAATCCTGTCTGTGTGCACATGGAGAGCATGCCTTCCGTTACAGGATAATGCACAGAGATGGTTTGGGGAGGGGCACTAAAGGCTCACATCCTCAACTGGAGTTCCAGCGAGCCACAAAGGGTGAAGGCTGCTTCTTTCCACAGACATGGCTAAAAACAATGTTCTCCTGCCGGTGTTGTGTAACCACGCAATGAAAGAGTCTGCTGTGATGCTGCACTCGGCACTCAAGGGGACAGTTTCTGTTGCTGTGGGAACCTGAACTTTGCATTTCCTGACTTGGGGGTAATTAAAATGTCAGCCTTAATGTGGCATTAATGGAGTTTGCCATAAAAATCCTCTTTGTTTTGTTCTCTCAGAAATTGCTTAAAAGTTCAAAATGATCCAAGTGTACTAAAAATTTAATCACAGGGCCTTGCATGAGTGAAGGGAAGAGTGGAAAGAGGGAAGGCCAGGGAAGATGGCAGGCAGGAGACAGGAAAAGAAGAACCCACAGTCTCCTCGACAGCAGGCAGCCCCAGCAGCACCATGCTACCTACACAGCTAAACTTAAACCCACCCACGCAACAGTTTGGTAATGTGTAAAGGTTAAATTAAAAATAAATAAAAACTGTTAATGCATAAATGCATCTTGGCAAGGACACAAGAACTAGACAGTCTGATGAGTCCAGCACAGAAACACTGGAAGGTGAGTGACCACGGATGTCAGCTTCTGACGAGAGGAACTAGTGCAGACCTCCAGTAGAAGCGGGAAGGGCCACCAAAGGGAGAAATGCTTCTTCCTTCCATGGGAAGGAGCCTGGTCTGGGGTGGGGAAACAAGATGGAAGAGATATGCAAGGAAAAATTCTGGTTGCTTCTATCTCACAAGTACGATGTGATGGGCTACAGCTTGACAGTTGTCAGGACAGGAGGCCTTCATCTGTGCTAGTGACACCGTTTTGTCCTGTTGAAGTACACAGCCTGTTTGGTGGGCTAACTGCTCTATTAAACACCGAGGGCTCTTGCACCCCTTCTCTTCCCAAATTCAGCTTAATGCCTTCTATTATCGTCATCTGAAGCTGTTTATCGTTATGCTTTCAGAAATGGTGTAGAGGTGACAAGCTCCGTGGAAATGGTAGAATATTGCTGAGAGGAAATTGTGTTGAGGAGTGCTCTGCCAAACAGCATGCATTTCTGTGGCAAGATAACAAGAGCATCTCGCTGAAGCAAAGCCTATCCAGCTATGCGACTTCTGCTTTTGGACAGCACTAGGATCTTTGGCCAAGGCGGAAGTGCCACGGCACAGCAGGTTACATAGCCAACTGATCAGTTAAGGTGCTGGAATGGTCATCTCTCCATGGGTATATGCAAAAGCACTGTGGCTCGTCACCTCTCCTAGTTACAGCAGAGCTGACTTCTCTTCTGCGGGGATGATTTATCTCCTGTGTTTTTATAACCACATCACCATTATGAGTAGCCACACACTTCCAAGATGCCGGTTCATAGCTAGGAATACCATCTTTGCACTTTGAGCAGAGAGTTCTGGACAATCAGAATGAGAGCAAACTGGTAAGCACTTGTCAGCACCCACGTGAGCACACTGCAGCAAATCCTGCCTCAGCGAGGTGTCAGTTCTCTCAGTTCTCTCATCCGTAAATTGGGAAGAATCATGCTGACGGACAGGAAGCCATGACTAAGAATAATTTTGCTAAGCACACAACACAATAAAAAGGTGCTATGAAAACTCAAGCACTTGTGAAAGCCTGGAACACCACAGACTGGTAGAATGTTCCTGAAGTTAAAGAGACTAACAAGTCAAGGACACTATTTTTAAATGCCCCAAATCTGTTCATTCTAAATAGGAACTGAATATTTTACCTTAAAGAAATTAGGCTTTTAAATTAATCTATGGCAAGAATGACATTTGAAAGTAAAAAAAATAAAAAAAAATCCTCTTGAATGCAAGAAGAGCATCCAAAAAATTTAACAGCTTAAAATAAACTCCTTTCCTGTCTTCTCTCAGGCAATCTCCAAATGGACAGATTTCTGTGAATCTTTCCTAAAAACAACCTTCCTTTAAGTGTAGGCTCAAATCAGGACAAACTACAATCTAAATATGTTTAGAGAGAAGTAGAATCCGTTTCAACAACAGGTCGGTGTGGAGAAGACTTACACATCTTAATGGCAAAATCAAAGTGACTTTCGAGACAGCGGAGATTAAGTTTCTCCTCCCATTTCGGTCTCCTTCCAACTGCATTCACACACCGACTGAGCTCCACTCTGTCGGCTTCCACAGGACTGTACCGACAGCACCTTCCTGCTGTTCCTTCCACATATGCCAGGCTAGTAGGGCAAGCGAGGCCTGGCCAGAGGATGCTTACTACAGTGTGAGGAGCACGGTGGCTTTCATTTCATGCCGGATTTCTGGGCTAGGGCCATCCCATGCAATCTTCCCCATAGGTCTGGCGGGAAGCCAGGTGTTGAAGGTGCACACTGAGACTCCAGCCTTTCACCAGAGGGAAAGCCACCTTCCTGGTGGGCAGGGGCAGTGGACACATGTCTGTGGGGCACTGTGCCATGCTATTTTCAAGTTCTTCCTGTAATTACCATTAGGCTGGAGACTTCCAGGCAAGAAAGCCATGGACGTGACTATGATGATGGTCCCTGGGATAAAGTCCCTGCTTCCGGCCTCTACTCGAAACAGAAGCGGCAAGTTTGGCTGCACAGATCACGTGGCACTGAGTGACTCAGATCTCATTTTCTTTCCATTTTCTAGTGACAGCTGGAGTGTGGCTGAAGCCCAACCCCTGCCCCAGCTCACATCCCTTGTCTAGAGGCTATGATGGCAAAGTGAGTGGGGGAGGGAATCGCCCAGATTTACCCTTCGTCCTCCTTGCAGAATTCTACATTTATTCTGTGAGAGAAATAACAACAAGAGATTTCCTAATGGAGATTTTTTTTTTTTTTAAATTTGTCTTGGAGGAACAGGATAAATGGAGCCCTTTTGGGAAATAAAGCTTTCCTGGTATATTTAACTCACTCTATTATGCCAGCTCTCTGCCTGTTACCAGACACCCTGTGGAGAGATCAGTTCAGAAGACTTGTTGGGCATCTTGAAGCTAAACGGAATACTTTTTTGGTTTGGTATTGTCAACACATGTGTTCCTCTCTCAAGTACTGGGTTACACTCGAGAAACGAAAAACAGCCTTCTAACGTGATTTATCAACTTTCTTAAAATAGAATTTAAGAAGTGACTTCTAGATTAGTGAGATGGCAAAAATAAACACCAAAGAAGTGATTTCAATAGTGACGATTCTCATTAAGTGCCCATTTCCAAATTTAGCCCGTAGGCAGTTTTTTTTAATTAAAAAATATTTTTAACCTGTGTTCTTATTGGCTATGAGAAGTCTGGGTGGCTTTTGGATTCTTGGAAGCCATTCTCTTTTCTTCTGTAAATGTATGCTATCCTTTAACCACTTCAAAATAAATTAAAAACTGGAAAGACCGAAATTCAGCCAAGCTACATGAGACTCCAATAACTAATGCAAATCTGACTCGGGTTATGTAATTTGGAAATGGTTGTTTCCTTGTGTCTCACTGGCCTTCTGAGGTCCATATTTGGTTGTTCCATTTAGTAATGGTAGAAGTGCTGTTACCAAGAGCAAGAATAATCAGTAAGGCGCAATACAACTTCTTTTTGTGAATTTCTCGTGAAAGAGAATGTGACCCATGTAACTAATCAGCATTTCGAGGCCAAATGCCTGGTCACCTGGCTTTAAAAGATACTCTGGCTTTGAGAATATATAGTTGCTGGCTGGATCAAAATGGCGCCATGTTACTCTTGGCTACTCTGGAAGACCAAATGGAAACAGCTTGCTCTGAATACAAAACAGCAGGGAACCCCGGGGCGGGGGAGAAGACCCATGCCAGGCACTGGGGAGACAAGGTCACCTCACTGGCGTACTCACAGTCAGACGACCCGGTGTGAGCGTGAGAGTTTGTCAGTGAATGTGTTGAGTGGATGAGGGCTGGGTCTGGAGACAAAACAGCTTCAAAGTTCAGGCAGGGAAGGCCCGGCTTGGCGCTGGATCCACCCGGCTGAGTAATCTCATTCTCCTCAGATGCCTTCTGGTTTTCAGCTGTCTTGGGTTTCTTCCTGAGAATAAACAAAGGGCCCTTTGAAGGAACTGACTGCATATTTGGGAAAAGGCATTTTTAGAATCTGTTAAAGATAACTTGACTTTTTTTTCTGAAGGGGGATGGGAGGGAGTCCAGTATGTCCCTTGTTTTAAAACAAGCTGATTCTTGTTTTTTTCCCTCCAGTAATGGCCTAACTGGGAACACATGAAAGCATATGGGCCAAGCAAACAGCACCGCATTTGGACTCTGTTGGCTGTATAAAAAGACCCTGTCCCAGAACTTTAGACAGCTTGAGCTACGTATGGCTGACATTATCCAAGAAAGCATCCTGTCCCTCTTAGAGCTTTAACATGGTCTGGAAAAAATGCTGTGGAGGTTTACCGTTCTAGCATTTGTCGGGAAGCTTAGAGACAGGCCTGTGGAGTAATGGGAAGAGTAATGGACAGGGAGTCAGGAGACTTGAGCTACGGTACTAGCTGTGCCAGCAACTTGCTGTGTGGCTTTGGGCACCTCACTTCACCTCTCTGGGCGTCAGTTTCCTCATCTGCAAAATAAAGCGCTTAGATTAGAGGGCCCTACAAGGTTCCTTCTAGCTTCAAGTCTGTTTTTGGAGCACATTGTGGAGTATCCCACTTTCCTGTTCCTATTAGTTTTATTTTAAGTCAATTCATAATTCAAATCAGAACCTCGACCTGCAGGCTGTCCAGATGAGAGGGGTGGTGTAGAAAGTGAAGAGTGGTTAGGAAGAGCTCAGGTTCCTGCAGCTAAGCGGGGGAGGAGCACATACATACTCTTCACCCTCCTCTTTATTCATCCAGGTCTTAAGCAGCTCCTTGTTCTTAGGTTTAGTCCAGGCTCCCGGAGTTCAGGAGTGCCAGTGGCATTTGCCTTGTGAGAAAGAGATTGCTGCTGGGCAGGAGAAAGGTGGTGGTGGTATTTAGTGTCAGGAGTAGAAGTGCAACAGTTCAGCTATCAGTCAGTTCAGGGCTCCTCTCCCCGTGGCAATGCCAACGATAGTAACTAGCAAATCAACATCTAGAGCAGATGGACCCCAGACCCCAGGAAAAAGGGATTAGGAGTTCCTCCTTGAACACGTCCCCAGTTTCTGTGGCTTTGTGTCTTTTTCTATCACTATGTAACCAGAGAGTATGTTTTTTTTTCTTTTTGGATAGATTATGTGTGGGACATAATTTGTTGTAAGTCGCTATGTTTCCATGTTCTCCTTGTTTCTATGAGCATGGCATTGGACTTGTATACAGAATATTTCGTATTGAAATGTGTTGTACTGGGTAGTCAAATCTGCCCTCGCAGAATATGGTGTTATGATTAGTATGCTGTGTTTTTAGTCCAACAGGTTGTGAAATCAAATCTGTTTCTTCAGAGGGCATGAGGCAGAAATAGCATGGTAAAGATTAGAATTGGGGGAAGGGGGCTTTCCGATATATTTTTCAAAGTGGAGAAAGCCAACATATAAAAAAAAGTCTCATTGCTGAAGGGGCAACTCTGGGACTAACCCTTGAATCCCATGCCTACCTGGGGACCCCCAAGAATCTGCTACTCTGGTTTACCAGATTAAGAAAGCATCCAAGATCAAATTCTCCAAGGTCCCCCTACCCCCTTTCTCCCCTTGGAGAGCCAGTGTTTCTCCTGATGTGTCTATTTCCTGCAGTGTGGTCTGCTGTAGAAGCCCCAGGTGCAGCGCTCACCTTCCTCGGCCTCAGCTTACCCTGCAGTCCTCTCAAGTCTGTTCCCTGTCCAGGATGCTGGTGTCCACTATCTTTCTCACCACCCCTTAACTCCCTTGTCCTACTGCGTTCCAATCAGTAAATCCTACAGGACCTGATAGCCTGGCATTCAAGGTCAGTTCCTTCTCTGCCCTATATTGTTTTACGGGTCCTATACATTGGCCGTCTTGGAGTTTGTTTATCATTCCCAGAGCTCTGGAATGTATTTTCTGGGCTCTTCAACTTTACTCATCACTGTTCTTGCTTTGATCAGTATTTTCTCCTCTCTGCCTGATGAAAAGAGACATACCATTCACACTTATTAAATGCCAGCTTCATGATATGCTGCTGTGTGTCCCCTCTTTCAGCAAGGATGACTCTTCTCTGTGTCATCCTGAAATCTCTCAGTACTTTCAGGACTCGTGTTTTCCTCACTAACCCTCACCTTGTTAGTTACATGCTATTACTTCTAGGAGAAAATGACCTCTCTGTGGGAAGAGGAATACTTTAGTTATTGATATATTCCTGCTCTTCATCCTTTTTTTCCTTTTGCCCTTCTGCTCTGCTAGCTTCATTCATTCACTCATTCACACATTCACTTTACAAATACCATGGCTGCGATGTGTTACACAGGTTATGGGCCGACCAGTGTGGGTCCTGTCCTCCCAGAGTTTACCCTTTCTTTAGTCTATACCGTAAACCAGGGCAACTTATACACAGCAGCCATTCAATAGCTGTTTGCTGATGGAATTAAACAGAGCTGAAATTCAAGTACACTTGGAGACTAGTCCCAGTCTGAATCTCAATTAAGTTTCCTAGTTTTTATGCAGCAGTGGAATCAACCTGGATTGGTTGCTTTTTCATTGATTACATGAAGAGTATTTAATAAGAGTGGCTGGTCCTTGTAATTCATCTAAATATAGGGACAAAACACCAATGACCATTATCATGTATCAGAAAAGAAAATGACCTCTGGTGCTTACAGACAAGGCCTGAGCTAGTTTCAGACATGAGGTTCGGAGAATTAAGGGTGCTCTTTTCCAAGCCCCAGTACTGCCAAACCACCCAATGACTCTAAATTAACCCTGGAGAAATTGCACTGCTTACGTTCTTGCTTCTTGTCTTGAATTGGATTTTGATACCTGCCTGATATCTGTGCCTCACCTTATGTCTACGATCACCTTGGGCGTCTGTCCATGGCACAGGGGCATTGTAGCCTCCTCTGCAAGAAGGACCCCTTCAAGACCAACCTACCCGGCTCCTTCACTCATTTGCTTAGTATCACTATAGTTGTCCTTTTACCATGGCTGTTTCCAGTCACAGACAAGAGCACGGCATACTGACCATCGAACATTTCCTCTACCACCCTAACCTCTTTCACAATTCTTTGGAAAGACTCCTTTTTCTGAAGCCAAGAAACAGCAACACATAACACCAATCTGTCTGACACGCACAGGTGCTGTTCTATGACCCATTTTTTTTCAGTTTGTGGTTTATTAAGGAGGAAAGAGCAAGCTCTCTTGTAATTAACTGAAAATGCCTTCTTTGGTTGCATAAAAAGGATTGTATAAACATGGCACATCTGAGGATGTGTCTGGACAAGCCTTTGTAGCTTGTACTATCCCCTGGAACCTGTAGAGGGCAGCAGCACACTGGCTGACTCCAGGCAGCATTTCAGAGAACAAACTCCTACCAGAACCTTCCTCCTGGTCACCATGCCAAAGGCTGGTTTGCCAAGCTCTTTCTGGCCTCTCAGTCTCTTTCAAGTTTGTTCTCTCCCCCGCCTGCTGTGCGCCTCTCTCTCTCTCTCTCTCTCTCTCTCTCTCTCTCTCTCTCTCTCTGTTTCTCTCTCTCTCTCTCTCTCTCTCTGTTTCTCTCTCTCTCTCTCTCTCTCTCTCTGTTTCTCTCTCTCTCTCTCTCTCTCTCTCTGTTTCTCTCTCTCTCTCTCTCTGTTTCTCTCTCTCTCTCTCTCTCCCTCTCTCTCTCTCTGTTTCTCTCTCTCTCTCTCTCTCTCTCTCCCTCCCTCCCTCCCTCCCTGTTAAAATTATACACTGTTATGAGGTGGCCCCTCATCCGGAAAATGAAAACTTCAACGAAAAAGTCAGACAGGCCAACAACAACAAAGAAAACCCGGGGGAAAGGGGAAGGGGGCTGTGACAGAAAAAGACTTCAGAACAAGAAAGGGGCAGATGTTTCGTAAATATATGCAAAGCAAAACTGGGTGTACCCAGAACACTTCCACAGAAAAACAGGCCAATCATTGTGCACTTCCTCCCGCCACACTGGTGGAGCTCTGCATTAAAAAAAAAAAAAAAAAAGAAAGAAAAAGAAAAAAAAGTGTGGCCGCAGGCACCCGCCTTTCAACGGTCAGTGCTGACATTCTGACTGAACACGTCCCAATTGTCCAAAGAGAACAAAAACATTTTCATCTCCCCACTGTGAACATTTTTGTTATGAGAAAAAGGCTGCTTCAAGAAATAGGAAGGCGGTTTAAGGTGAAGGGCAGTCGAGTTAGCCAGCAGAACCTTCTGTGTTTTAACTCTCCCTGTGCTGGTCCTGACAGAAAGTTTCGGGCTGAAAGATAGCAGTGAGCAAGGCTGTGGAGGATGCTGGCTCTCGCCTAACTAGACCATATTGTTTGTGCAAAGAAAGATGCATTAAAACATATGGATACGCTGCTAGGTATTAAGCATGTTAAATGCATGGAAATTAGGCGGAATGGTGCTGTTGGATGTATATAGTTCACACTCCTTCACACATACTGCACACATACAGAGATGGCAATGCTTTCTGTAACATATGGAAAAATAAATATTTTATCTGCGTGAGCTCTTATCAGTCTCCAGGGTCTGTGGAGAGGCAAGTGCTTCCTCTCTCTCTCTCTCTCTCTCTCTCTCTCTCTCTCTCTCCCAATTCTCTCCCTTCAGTGGGCTCATGCCGTCTCCTGCACATGAACAGCTTCCCACTTAGCAGCCTGTGTGGCTAGGAAAGGGTTACGCAGAACCTCCCTTTCATAAATAATCACTCAGTCATTTAGATCAGCCTTTTGGAAGTGGCAACTATTTCCCTCCTCTGTTTCACACTGTAGAGTGTCTGGGGAGGGTGGGGTGGAAGTAAAGGACTACTGCCACCTGGGGAGGGGGTTTAGGAAAACTGAGCCCAAGGCAGGTTAGTCTGCATCTCGGAGTCTCCATCTTCCCCATCCGTAAAATGGGAACAGCAATACCTTCCAGCTGTGGGCTGTGGCTAAGAGTAAAGGAGAAGAGCCAGGTTGTGTTTAGAACAAGGCTGGCCCAGGAGCAAGTAGTCTATGAGAGAGCTTTTTGGAAAATAGTAGTTCTGTGGTGTTCAGTTAGCTGTGGAAGTAAGGCGTGTCCACTGCAGTCATCTTTTGAATATCTCGGTCAGGGGCAAGGGCAAAAGGATTGTTGTTGTAGCGAGCAAACTCTTCTTTCAACCCTGGCCTCACTGCCCGCCCCCCACCTCTCCTGTTCTCACATGCCTATCATTGCTGTGGCTGCATTGAGGACTCCTTGGAGCTGAGGGTCAAGCAAGCTGCACTTGGCCTGCAGTGGCCCATCGGCCTGAACACTATAGGCTATTCATGAAACCAACCTACATGACTCTTGCTTATCACGCCTTCTTACAATTTATCCTTTCACAACTTGGCCCAGTATTCTCACATTAATTTAAAATGTTTTCATGATTAAAGCATTTTATTATCTCAATCTCTTCTCCCCCTTCTTCTTGGCAGGGCTGATTTACAATATTTTTCAGTGTCTTTCCTCACTGCAGTCGGGATCCTGGCAGGAAATAAATGGTACATGTAAAGCCCCCCCCCCCCCCTTGTTTTTTCTTGAGACAGGGTTTCATTGTGCATCCTCGACTATCCTGGAATTAGCTCTGTAACTGGCCTCAGACTCATAGAGATCCTCCTGCCTCTGCCTCCTAAGTGCTGTGGTTAAAGGTGTGTGTCACTACTGCCCAGCTACAGGTAAAGCTTCTAACTGAAGGGAGTTTGCTGAAGGAGCTGCGTCCCAAGGAGTGGATGAGACCAAGGGACACTCTCAAGCGATGGAGCAGCAATGGAGAGCTGTTGACCTCATCATACCGCAGTGGAACTGGAAGGCGAGAGCGGGCACATTTCTGCACTGAGTCAGGATGGCACTAGGGTGGGCGCTCACACTCTTACAGAAGTCTTCTTTAGGCCTGATTTTCAGGGAAGCTAGAGAACAGGTGAGCCTGGGTACTGGAGTCCTGAGAAGCCTCTGGGTCATGCGCGAGGACAGGGACTGGGAGGTGGGGTGGCAAGATTCATTTGCATACCTATTGTTTCCCCTTTGCATTTCTTTCACACTTTTCCTCTCAATTATACTTTCTGGAAGGAAAAAGGAAAATAAAATCAAATCAGTCCTTGGTTAGCTTCTATGTACCTATTTTGTCTGTTTGTCATTTATAGAGCAGGGAAACTGAATGTAAGCTCACAAGTAGGGATTTGTTTGTGTTCCTTGCTATATCCCAGTGCCCAGAATAGTGTCTGGCACCCACTGAAGGCTCAGCAAGTTTTAGTGGAGTAGACACACTCATCTCTGCCATGCCAGACCCTCTATACACATCCTCTCACTTCATGATCATGCAGCAAGGGGAAGTCGGCAGGCTTGAGCATGTGTGCAGGTAATGTGCGAAAACCCAGCACTCACCTCAACCATCACCTCTCAAACTTTGGGAACAGGTGCAGAGCCCTGGCAGCTCTCAGGAAGGGACCCACTTTTGTAAAGTTCCCATTTTTATATTGTTCCCACCTTGGTGACTATTTTCTTTCATGTATGTAAGGAAGCAGTCTCTGAAGAGCAGACACTGATAGGGTTATAAGCCAACCTGCCCATGTCCTGAGCCCAGGGGAAGATGAAACACCGCTCTGAAGCAAAAACAGCTGACTGGGCATTTCCTTGCAATTCCAAGAGAGATCAGGTATCAGTTCTTAGGTCGAGGCCTGCGTTCTCTGCAGCACAAGGACTCTGCGCAAACCTCGACACCAGTCTATACCCTAGAGTGACTGTGCTCTTGGCACAGGCATCACTCTGTGTTGAAGCAAAACTCAGATGTGAGAAACTATTCAGATGTGAGGCTTTCTAAGGGACTCCTTGTGCTTGAACATAAGGATAAATTATGCAATTAAGTTCCCTGTGTGATTATAGGCAAAAGAAACAACTTATGGTCCTCTCCTCATGTCTGTAAGCACTCGTTCCTCAATGCCCTTCATTGCCCATCTTGGCTAGAAAGGCCTGTCTATCACCTACACACCAGCTATCATCAATTGTCAAGAAACCAAACGCAATACAGGTAAAATAACTCAAAACAAAACTCTGGCTTCATTTCTTTGGGTTTGAGGTCTGCTAGAATAGCTAAAGACTTAGGTAATATGAATGTGAAATGTCCTACCTGAACCTAAGAGGAGTATTAGCCCCCCAGGTTTAGCATTTTCTAGTAACAGAGACTTCGGTAAATCACCATCCCATTACCTGCCTTCTAATGTACAGGAAAACTAGTAAGTCCAATAAAAAGGAGATTTCATTTTAAAATGCATAATTATTTTGCATGCAGAACGTCTAAACAATTCAAATTTCTGGCTTTTCTTCGTGGAAAAAGCATATATTTGTTTATTAGTTTTAATATGATTAGTTAGTAAATTTTCATTAGTTGCCTGTGGATATTGACTCTCCTTCCCTGTTTTATTTCCTTGTGAGGGATATATTTCTACAGAAATGCCATGTGTACAAGGAATCCTATCAGTTACACAGAGCCATGCATCCAGAGGGCAAATCAGACCTGACTTGATGGGCTAGAAATATGGTGGAAGGAGCCTAGAGTCCCAAAAGGAAGCCCTGGCTGCTTACAGTTGAAAGGAGGCAACAACATGGGGTGTGTCCTAGAGATCAGGTAGGCATAGGCAGGCTAAGCTGGCTCAGAGGTTTGACCTGGGTGACATGAAACACAAGCAACTGCAAGGTTCAATAGACTGGCAAATGATGAGCATAAACACGGGGAGGGGAGCTACCACCGTCCTGGGAGAGGCACGCATGAGGCAGCCACCAGGAGGTGGGAGAGAGATGGGAGAGGACACTACCCAGGCATGCGTGCAATGAATGCTGGTAGCTGAAAACAGCTGCGGGTATTGGGACTGCTCACCTAAGAGATGCAGGTGCATCTAAAGGCTGAAGCTACTTGTAATTGTACCTGCTTTTGCAATTGTGTGGTTTGTCGTCATCATCATCATCATCATCATCATCATCCCCATCATCATCTATTAAAGTAAACTAGTTCACTGGAGGCGTAAGGTACTTACAATAGATTTCAGACAAATGGTGTCACTCTTCAGGTAAGTCACTCCAAGGCTTGGGCCTAGTGCAGATGTTCATCGGGGCAGGGGACAGAGAGCGGCTGCATCTAGCAGAAACAAAAAACAAAACAAACAAGGTCATTAAATGAGTAGGTCATGATTACAGCATTCTTTGCTCATTTATTTAATGTTTTTTGAAAGAGATAAACTAGGAAACATGACTGCGGCTGGTTCTGCATCTTTTTCCCACGGTGCTTCCGCTGACTGCTGGGATGGTCTGAGACACTGGAGTATCCCTGCAGTGCAAAGCAGCTTTGGGAAACTGAGTGGAGGTTAGACCAGAGAGACTGAGGACAGCCTTGTTCCAACTTGGCCCAGCCAACTCTTCTGACGTTTTACACATACTGGTTGGTTGTTAGCTGACACAAATTATACATATTTGTGGAACATATAGCATAATGATATCATGATGTTTTGAGGTTTGTGTTCATTATGGGATAGACAAATCAAGCTAATTAGCATATCTATTACCTCACATATTATGTTTTGTGGTGATAGTTTGTTTTTTTTTTTAATTATCTTAGAGCAGGCAGTAAACTGTAAATCTCAGCAGCTGCCTGGAGGAAGAGAATGGAAAAGAGGGGAAACAAAAATCTCTGAACTTATGTCTTGTCTAGAACAAAATTTTTGTTTAGACTAAAAAATGTCTAAATAAAATTTAGTATTCTTTGAACATCCCTATAGCCTATGTTAGCCACCATTTTATTCTCTGCTTCTATGAGTTTGACTTTTTTGGATTCCATTTCTAAGAGAGAGCATGCTATGTTTATCTTTCTAGGCCTGGACTTTTTCACTTAGTGTTTTCCAGGTTCACTCAGGTTGTGACTGCCTTCTTTTGAAAGGCTGAGCAGTACTGCATGGTGTCCATGTGTATCCCAGCTCTGGTATTTTTGACTCCCTTCAGTCTCTCCCTTGCTACTAGTCAGGCGTTGCTTTGCCTGAAGACAGCCACTTACCTGGTTTGGATTCTTGCCTTCTCTCTGTTCCCTTTGCAGAGAACTGAAGAGTCTCCCTTCTTTATCTTTAATCCCAGGGAGTACAGTCTTAGAAAATGTAGATTATGATCTGTCTGCTGGGGCCTCCAGCTCACTGCCCCCTCAACCCTGACATTCCTGCCTTTTGTTCTGCTCAGGGTTCCCTTTGACCCTGAAACTGATCCACTTTTGTGGTTGGGCAAGCCACTGTCCTGATTGTCTTTTTGTCTCCAGTCTGCTGCTCTGTGTCCATTACTTTGTTTTCCCTCTCATCTTGCCTTGAAAGGTAAATTCTTTAACATTTTACCCCACAGGCTTTGTCTAGAAAACCTGCCTGGACCTCAACAAGCACTTTCTCCGAGAGTCCACAGTGCTGTCTATCTTCAGCTCTTCTTTCTGTAGCACTACAGCCCCATTTCTTAAGTCAGCCAGTGCCCAGGGCACTCACCATTTGCTCACCTACTGTGCATACTGTATCTAGGAGACCCTTGGAAAAGATGAGCAGTTCAGGGTCTTGAATTCTTCGAAACTTGACATCTCTGTCAAGTATTACCATGCTCTTTAAAGTTAGAAATTTTAAGACAGACCTCACTTTTTTCCTCCAAATCTGTGGCAACCTCAGAGTTTGTGCTACCTCTACTCCATGGCTTGTCTATATCTGAGCATTTATCCTGATGTTTTTGCATTTCTATATCCAATCAGCTGCCAAGTCCGCAGCTCTTCCTCTGGCCAACTTTCTTCAGTCTATTTGTCTTTGGTACCCAACACCATCACCTCTTTACCACCTGCGGCCAGAACATCAGAGGACATTTCCTGAATGCCTCCATTCTGCTAGTTTCTTTTCATTTTACACCAGCATTTTACATTTCTACAATGGTTATATTAGTGTTCTAGAGCACCAACCCAAAAATGTGTTCCTCCTGTGTGCAAAACTCCTTTGTTTGATGCATTAAATTCAAGTGACTCAATTTGACATTGAGTACGCTATACGGAGGCCCTGATCCAATTTTCAATTCTTGTTCCGATAGTTCATTCTTTACATCAGCAAGGCTGCACTCTTTCCCACATGTTCATGCATTTTTCTTTCACTCCAGTGCCTACATACAGCTTCCTTATGGGCCATTAGATGCCACCTCATTTAGGAAGTGTTTCTCAAAGGAAATAAATGCCCCTGCATCCTCAAGCACTGATTTGCAGGATCCCCTGAAATATTCTACTGATTCCAATCACCATTTGTATCATTTTTCTCCCTATTCTTGAAAATCAGAGACAATATCTCAGGGTGGACGCTTCAGAAATAGCCTTAGAAGCAAATTTTCTCTCTGACCCTTTCTTGTCCCCCTCTGTCCTGCCTCCTCTCATCGTAATGCAAGTCACAGAAGTAAGAGATTCTTTTCTGCAGAGCAGAAGATAGAAATGAGAACCCATTTCCTAAGAGCAGATCACAAAGCTTAAAAATACCATTCTAATCTTCCCTTGCCTTTCGGCGTAGGAACAGGGCATAATGTTCTGGCGTACCTTGTTTGGAAGTGGATTTCAGACCTCAGGTTAAGGAATGGTCCGTCCATACCCAGGTAGAAGGAATGCTGCACAGAGAGGCCTTGCTGGGTTTCTGTGCTAGTCTACCACCATTAGCTCACACTCCTTTGGCCAATCATATTTCCACATAGTTGTACATTCTCTAGGCAGCTTAAACATGGACAGCTTGCCCTGTATCCGTGTATCCTTGGGTCTTTCTCCTGAAGTCTCTGCTATTAGGTAGACTTGTGGTCCAATGCATTTCCTGAGTTTTGCTCTTGTCACTCTGTCTTTGGCTATAGAGTGTTGGCAATGTCCTTTTATGGTGTGTAGAAAATGGACCATTCCTCTTTTCCTACCTCCAGAGTACAATTCCTTACATATGGATGGGTGCTCCACTGATGTTGGCTGAGTGGAATTCCAAAGGAATAAGTAATCTTGCTTAGAAGGCATAGAAACTGAGGATGAACTGAAAGGGCTTGGAAGCTCATCTACTCCACTGTCCTCATGCCCCTATGCCAAGATTAAGGGAAACAACTTCTCAAAGTCCTAGCTTTGCTAGCAACTAAGCAAGGATAACTGATATAAAAGGTCTTGTGTCTTTAAATATCTATCAGTGCCTGATAAATACCAATAAGCCCACCAGACCATCAAGAGTGATGACCAGACCAAAAGACCAGACTAGGGACAGGGAGAGTTTGCTGGTATACTATGTTTCAAAACTAACAAACTTGTTTCAGTTATTAGCTTCAACAAACAGAGCAAATAAATACCATTTTATAGTTCAATAACACCTTAAAATGAAAGTGGATCATAAAAGTGAAGAAGCAGATTTTTCTAATATTACCAGCAGTAATAATTATGTTAATACTGAAAATACCACTGGAGTGATAAATGCAGACTGAAGACTAGGAAGAGGCTCCGCGCACTTCAGCAAAGACCCTGCTGGAAACAGGCTACAGCAACTCTAGGGTTAAATTCAGTATGGCCGGTTGACAGTCTTGCTGCTTTAACACTTCTTTTCCCAGCTAGCTTTGTTCACTCTTCACGCTCTGCATGTGCTTAAATTTGCACTTATTTTTCTCCTTAGAAACGTGCAGATGGCTGCCCCAAGTCACCCCTCATTTTCTTGCCTTGTTTCTTTCCAGAAATAGAAGAAATATTTTTTGTTCCATTTCTCCTGACCTCAAACGGAATCATTTTTTCTTAGTTCTAAATGAAAAATTAAAACATAACAAATAAACAAAAAACCCAAACCAAAATAAAACTACAACCAAAAACAACTGTCTTGGGATAGTGGTGCTTACCATGGCAAGTAGATCAGGGCTTCTAGGGGCTAGCCCTCATTTTCACTGGTGAGGAGATCTTCCTCCTAAATATCAGTCTATACTATAGACTCTGTGGTACCACAAGGCCTTGCCAACTCATTGTTGCCCAGCAGAGGAAGAAGACGGTAATATCCATCAATCCCTTTTTTGGCTGTATAGTGAAGAGGTACTATGAATTTATCCGTTTGCCTTAGCAGCTACATTACCAGCAAAACTGGGTCCAGAAACTGTTCACTGCTCTTTCTAACAAATTGTTGGCTAGAGATTATTAACAGTTTGCCACACTGAACTATCTTCTTTTTCATCTCCTGGCAACTACATTATGGTAATAAAGAAAATCACTCATCAATATTCTCCCACACTGCAGTGAACAATTACCTGGCAATACACATATATCCTCTATATAATTAGTTAAATGTACATGTTCAGGACACATAATAGTTTACTAAAAGTGTGAAATTTATAATTAAACAGAGGCATAATCTTCCTGTCCTTTAATCAAACCCCTTTCCTTCACATCCTGCTGCTATGATCTTCCAGTTTTTGGCAAACTACCTTCTATCCCTATTTCCTTATTTCTCCGCTCAGGTGCCTGCACACAGTTGAGGGTCTATTAATCAATGCTACTGTGTGGTCCACCATGTTTGATTGCTTAAAGGGTAGTCAGACTTTAAAAAAGACCCAGTGAAAGTGATTTCATAGGGTTTCATATTTATTCCCTTTTAATGACTTCCATATCCAGCGCAGTTAGTTTTTAGGTTAAAAGGTAATTCTGAGGGGCTGCTGGTGCCACAGATTCCACCCAGACGCTGGAGCTCCAGCTGTTCTCTCTGCCTCTGCATCACCACTGGGCTACAGAGTCCACACTCGGACCCCAGCATGTCTCTTGGTGGTGTCAGATGCAGAACAGGCAGAGGGTCACTTCTTTTTAGCTGCTGCTGTGCTGGCATCTGGGCACACCTGCCTTGGAAGCTGGCTCAGAGCAGCTATGGAACACAGTGCCACATGTCACCTAAGGAACTGTCTACTGAGGGCTGATTTCATTGTGGCCTTTGCTCCTCACTGCTCAGAGATCCCCAAACTAACATAAAATGGAAGAGTACTTTCAGGGTGGAAGCTGACATAAACAACACAGTGAAAACAATAGCAACTATTTACTGGACATCTATATTTTCTCAGGGACCATCCATTTGCATATATGAAAACATTCTCATTTGACCTTCCCAG